ACTGCTTTCCATCATTCAGGGCAGTCAGTGGGACAGTGTAGACTGCTTTCCACCATTCAGGGCAATCAGTGAAACAGTGTAGACTGTTTTTCATCGTTCACACACATGACTGCAGATACCTCTTGGTCAGTCAGCTTAGGACAAAATCTCCAAAAACAAACAACAGATATTCTTGTCATTTGTTAACAGAAAAAGTTTGAAAGTTCATCTTAATGTTTCCTATTCACTTAGGGATCTGGCTCCCTTAACTTCATTCACTTAGGTTTTTTGCTGTTGTTTTATTGTTTTGTTTTTTGAGGAGGGGGGTGGAGACAAGGTCTCTCTCTCTCTCTCTACATAGTTCTGGCTGTCCTGGGGCTCACTATGTACCCCAGGCTGGCTCCAACTCGAACTGAGATCAGCAGCTTCTGCCACCACCCTCAGCAGCACACTTGTGGTGGAAGCTGTAAAGGACGCTGGTGTGTTAGTGCTGCTGAAAGCAGGTAGGGTTCCGAACACAACGCACGCATACCCCATTCTGCAGTTTCCTCAACATGGCACCTGGAACTTCTCCTCTGCTAGCATCAACCCAAGGAAAGAAGTGTGGGAGAAGCTCCTGTCCATGTCATCTCTCTAATCCCAGGACTTCTGGCACACAATGCTGTATGCAGTGCAACTGGAGAGCAGCTCCTGGGCCCATGGGGTACTCCATGCCCTGGCAAACGCATCAGTCCTGGACTTCCCTACTATCCTGGGGAGTCTGGACCATTCTCAGGCTGCCCCTGGAAATGGCACACACCTAGAAACATGCATGAGTAGGCATCTTCTGCGGCCTCCATCTTGGGTCTCAGTTCCTATCTGTTCACCATCACACATCCTATGTGGGAGAAGAGACACTGCACTGCCTTTTTATGTTCTTTTCTCGTGGGATGGCAGGAACCAAATAAAGCAATCTCCACCCCTTTTTTCTGTGAAATTTATTGTTTCCACATTAAAAGATTTTTTTTTTTGGAGGGAAGTATCTTCTTTTAACCACATGATGATCCTATACAGCTGCCCAGAGTAGGACACCATCATAAGTCATTAATTAACATGCCATATGAGTCTGAATAAATAAAAGCTACAAAGCCCAAGTTATATACAAATATCTTAGGCAATAATGTTTACAAACCTATGTACAATAAAACAAATGTAAACAGTAAGTGCAGCATGAGAAGAACAAAGGGGGAAAGAGACATACACTCTGGCCAGTCTGCCCCCAGGAGCTGGCACCAGCCAGACCACAATCAGGGCCCTCAACCCTTCCCAATGCAACTGGACGGACCTTCAGACAAGAAAATAAAAATGCTCTAAGAGATGTCATTGAACTGAGGGACCAGAAAGCTGGCAAGGAAGTTGCCACTTGCCTCCTCTGAGTCTGAGGCACACAGAGGCTCAGCCCTGAAGTGCCCAGGTCCCAGATGCCCCTGCCTCCTGTAGGTCAGACAGGCATCTTGCTGCTTTAAAAGCAAGCCTATGGAATGGGCTGCTTACATAAAGTCAGAAGGTACAGACAATGTTCCCTAATTCAGAGACGTTCCTGACTCTGCCTGAAACGGTCTGAACTGTAGGGTGAGATTGGGGGACACATGATTGTGAGCACTGAAGATGCTTGGGTGGGACCTTAGAAGGGTCTTGTCAACCTGATTGAGGAGAACTTCTAGAAGATCTGCAATGTCCTAAACATAACTAAATCCTATCAGCACAGCAAAATGGGGGCTATGAGGCAGATGTGATGAACGGGTACTTCCACATCCAGTGATCGAGTAATACACGTATGTATCACTTGTGACCCACAAAAGTGCAATCATGTGAAACCAACGGCACTACGGCGAGAAGAGAAAATAGCCAGTATTGATATCGCGCAGAGTCCTGGGGCTGGGCAGGGCCCAGCAGCCACCACTGCATGCAGCCTGCCCTCTGCCGGCGGTGGAGAGGCAGACAGGGGCACAGGGCTGGACCCAGGGACCGAGGGACGAGGCGTAGGTGTCCTGGGCTGCTGGAGGAGAGCAGGGGCCCCACCTGGAGGCCGGGCACTCACACACTGAGAGGCAGCATACCCGGTGCTGATGATGGCCGTGAGGAGCCCAGCCCAGGAGGAGGAGGAGCTGGATCGAAGCCATTTACCGCCCTGTGGGGTGACCAGAATAGCAAGGGAAGAAGAGAAGAAAAAGAGGCTTATTTAACATCACTCTACACACAGGAAACTTAACTGCTTTCTGTAACTCGTGCTCTTCCTTGTCCACAGTAGAATCTCGAACCCCAAAGTAGTTGCCCCAGAGGCACGGTGATGAGAGAATGGACAGATAGTTCACAGTCCTGGGGTACTGAGAGCATGTACCCCTTTCTAGGCAACTCTGTCATGTGGGTCACTATAACCACAAATTTGTTTTTTTTTTTTAAACCATCAAAAGGTCTAAATGTCTGGCAATAGAAAGCTAGATAAATAATTATACAACAAAACAATGAAATATAAATACAACTATTAAGAATGGATTGTACATTGCCGGGCGTTGGTGGCGCACGCCTTTAATCCCAGCACTCGGGAGGCAGAGCCAGGCGGATCTCTGTGAGTTCGAGGCCAGCCTGGGCTACCAAGTGAGC